AGCCCAGGGTGACACTACACCTCCAGCCAATCCTAGTCCAGCCCAGGATGCAGTGCCCCCATCCCAGCCAGTATGAGGTGCTCACAGCATGGCCTGCAGCACCCACCTTAAGCCCAGTACCCCATCCCAGTTCAGCCCAACATGGCCATGTTTCAGCCCAGTACATGACACTTCCCCCTCCCCTCCCCAGCAGCCGCTGCCCCATCCTGCACAGGGCACACATGTCTCCACCCTAGCCAGTGCCCAGGGCCCCCCTGTCCTTAGCAGAGCACCCACCATGTCCCCCACCTGCCCGGGGTCCCACCTGGGCCCTGGGGCAGGATCTGACTCTGGCTATTCACTGGCAGAGGCTGTGTCCTGCTTTTCCCCAAAGCCACAGAGGCTTGGCAGTCCCCCCATGCTGCCTGGAGCACGTGGCTCCCTGGGGAGCGGGGAGGTAAAACACCTGTCATGCCTCAGTTTCCCCCATGACACTCAGCGTATCCCACCGCTGGCTGGGCTGGGGCAGAGCCATCTCTGGCTGCCTGTGCCCACCACGATTCATGGTGCTGGCACCCACTTTGTTGGGATTGCCGGCACCACGATGCCCTCTGTGGTGTCACTCTCTGTCCCTGGGCCCTGGCCGGTGTGAGGCAAGGAGCCACCAGCCTCATGCTCCCCTTGCTGTGGTGTTGATGGGGATGGGCTCACAGAGCCAGGGGCCACAGCTGGGGGTCGTCATCATCAGGTGCTGCAGGCATGGGGAGGGGGCTGCTACCAGGAAGGGAACCATGTCCTGGTCCCTGCATGCCTGGGCAACCTGGCCATGGTGGGGCCGCAAGCCCCTTGGGGCTGCACGTTGCAGACCCCTGTGGCTCTGATCATCCCTGCGAAACTGAGCCCTGCCCTCTCCCACAGGGATCATGCAGCATCTCCCCAGGCTCCTCACATGCTGGGGGGTGCTGGGAGATGTCAGGGTCTGTGGGGGACCCCAGCTGCTGGGAGGGTGTCTGTGCCAGCACGTCACCAACCAGGGATGGCAAACCTGCCCAGATAAAATAAGACCTGACCTGACCTGTGACGATCTTCCCCTTCCAGAAGCGTGGGGAGGTAGTGTGAGCTGGCGGTGAGGGCCATGGCTTAGGGACCTAATCCTCTGAGCCTGGAAACTGCCGTTTGCCCTGCCTGCCATGCCTCAGTTTACCCCTTTAGATCATCAAGGCTTTGAGAGTGGGCCTGACCCTCCCTCCTTGCTGCAGTGAAACCAGCCCTGTTCTCCCAGCAGGTCCATGGGACCCCTGGGCAGATGAAGAGCAGGGGAGCAGCACCCCCTGGGAGCACAGCAGACGTTGCTGGGGTTTGCCCCGCCCGCATTACTGCTGCCCCCTCCCCAGCCAGCCTTGGCTGCTCCTGTCCCCACCTTGGTCACCCACTGGGCAAGGGGCCGGGACCGAAGCCCATGGCAAACTGGGACTGCTGGAACCGCTCCCAGCTCCAGCTCTCAGACGCGCCAGGAACAGGCTGTCCCTTCCCTGCCCACGCTGCCCACCTGCTCCTCACCAGGCTGCCCCGGTCAGGCAGGCGTGGGGTGCAGGGTTACCCCCCCCCAGAACTGCTCTGGGGATGCCCAGCGCCAGGAGCATCCCCAAGGACTGCTTGCCTCCTCCCCTGCCTGGTCTGTGTTTTGCGGGACAGCCAGGACCCATCCTGGCAGGGGGAGAGGGGCTGCATGGGCAGTGTTGGGGGCACCCACTCAGGCAGCAGTTTGGGGAGAGAGGAGCACTGGGCTCCTCTTTGCAAGGTCTGCAACAGGAAATGTGTCCCCAAGTGGTGGCCCTGAGCCAGAGCTGGGGATGGGATGGACATTACTGGGGACGGGAATGCTGGAACGACTACCCATGGCTCTGGTGGGGACACAGCTTGGCTCTGACCCACAGGAGGACGAGCACCCACCTCTCTCACGGACGAAGTAAGCCAGGTAGAGGTCGAGCTCCTTGACAGAGACGCTGATGTGGTGGGGCTGGACGCAGAGGATGGGGTTGGTGCACTGGCCCGACTTGACCAGGCGCTCACCATCGGTGCTCTCCAGCGGGATCCCTTTGAAGAGGATGACCATGACCAGGTCCAGCCGCCACACCTTGTCCGCCTGCCGCAGGCGGGCGAGTGGCCCCCCTGCCGCAGGCAGTCGATGCGACGCATCTTCCCCTTCTGGTCAGGGTTGGAGAGGACGCAGCACGAAGGCTTCTTGCCCGTGATGGAGAGCACGAAGTCCTCGCGGCACTCGGGCCGGATGTCCTTGCGCAGCTTGGCCAGGAGGCGCGAGGCCCATTTCTGCTTCACCTCCGGCTTCTCGCTCAGCAGCTCGTCCTTCACCGCCCTCTCCTCGTCCTTCGTCATCCTCTTCTCATGCTTCTTGAAGTACTTGCGCTTGCGGGCCTGCAGGTTGAACCAGGTGTAGGCGAAGGCCCGGACGTGGGGGAGCAGCGCCTCGATGAAGGGGTGGAACTCATCCTGGGGGAGCAGAGGGACAGGAGGTCACTCTCAGCCAAACTACCCCCAAAACCACTCTGGGACAGCCAGGGAGCCCGCAGGGACCTGCTGGGGACATCTCTGCCAGGCTGCATCCCCGCACAAGTAGGAGGAAGAGCCGTGGCAGAGACGCACACCCACCAGGGATGGGGAACACAGCAGGATCCCCCCCATGCCAGCCCCCACCCCAGAAATTCCACTGACTGCAATTTCCCCAGGCCAGTAACCTGCTGTGGGTGACTGGAGATACTGGAGCTGGCGATGCCATGAAGGGGCAGGCACTTGCACAAGGCACACCGCCTTGGCAGCCCCGGCTCCTCTCCCCTTCCCACCCACACGTGCCAGGATCTGCTCCCAACTGGCACCAAAATCCCACCTGACATGGGATGGGTTTCCCACACCTCCAGCATCCCAGGTGCTCTCGCAGGGGGCTGCGAGTGCCTTGGGCTGCACTCCCACCAGACCAGTGGGAAACTCCCCCAGATTGCCCCAGTTGCGGCCAGCCCGGCGGCTGGCGCTCGGCCCAGTGTACAAGGCGTGCTCTGATTGCCTTTTTCCATTTGGTGAGCACTGCTGGACGAGTCCAGCCCCAAAAGAAAACAAGGAAAATGCATCCCCGGCCCCGGCCCCTCCTTCCTGCATCCCATTTTATTTTTTTTCCCCCAATTTGGAAAATCAGTGCTTCCTGGCTGCGGGAAGCCACATCCATCGTGGGATGGAGAGGTGTTGGGAGCCTTCCCGACAGGGAGCAGCATGGGTTGGAAAACAGCAGGGAGAAGGCCAAGCATCCCTGCGTGTGGCGAGGGCTGCTCCCCAAGGGCAGGATTTGGCCCTTGGGGTCCCTCCAGATGGTGATGATGTGGAGGAGGAAAGAGCCCAGCTCAGCACTCGAGTCCCGCTGGAGGCTGCCAGGGCTGGGCGGGGGTGGCTGGTGGCGGCTGCCCCCACCATGCTATGGCCCCGGTTTGTAGGGTCGTGCCCGGGTTTGGGTTTCCCTCCCAGCGGGGAGGGTGCCACGGGCAGGCGTTTCTCTGGAGAGGGAGCCTGGGAGCTGCAGGAGGACGGAACCTTGGCAGTGGGATGTGGTGAGCAGCTCTGGAGATGGCAGCGAGATGGGGTGAGCAGCTCTGGAGGTGGCAGCTGGTCCCCTCACCCCAGGGCAGGGATGCCACTCCCTGGCCAGAGCATCTCTGTCCCAAAGGGACCCTGCTTGCTGGGAACAGCATCCCTGCTGCAATCTGGACCAGACAACCCAGCACAGACCCTACCATTCCCTGAAGCCGGAACAGACGCCAATAACCACCAGCACAGCCTCACTAACCTCCCAGAAGTCCCCTCAAGCACAGACCTCGTTATGTGCCAGCACAGACCCATCACCCCGGCACAGACCCTGCTGTCCCCAGGAGCAGACAGCCCCTGCTCTGGATCCAGCTTCACCAGAGCCGTGACCCTGCAGATGCCCCTCCAGACCCCACAAAGGACAGGAGATCCACCCTTGCTGGGGAGCCCATCCTACCTGTGGGGACCCAACACTGCTGGGGGACCCATCCTGACCTTGGGGACCCATCCCTGCCTGGGGGACCCATTCTGCCACGGGAACACAACCTTGCCTGGTGGCCCCATCCCTGCTGGCTGCAGCCCGATGCAGCAGCAAGGTCTGGTTCCCTCCCCAGCAGCAGCCGCTAATTCAGTGCAGCTGGGCAAGGGCTGGGCATGTGTCTTAAATCAGGGAAGAAGGTCAAAGAAAAGTAAGACAGGAGCCGAAAAAAGCAGCAGCAAGTTCCAAAAACAATACTTGGCTGGGGCGGTGGGCGGCTGATCTTCCTTGGTGGCCGGTTATTCAGACGAGCCCTACAAATTGCTGCCATCCCTGGCCCCACCACCCTCCCCAGGCAGCCGGCGGCAGGGCTGTCCACAGCGCAGGAGGGGGGACACCGCACCATTGTCTGTGTCCCTGCCCTCCCGTCAGGCAGTGCCACCCCCGGCACCGCTGCAGGGATGTCGGCCAAGAACCAGGTCACCCCGGTTGCGGAGGTTGCGGAAGGCAGCGCCTTTGGGTGCTGCTTGCCCTCACCATGAGGGTCAGGTATGCTCAATGCCCTGCCCCAGTTTCTGCAGGGCTCTGAGCAGACTCCAGCTTTCCCCCTCCCCACCATGGTGCCGAGGATGTTCAGACCCCACTGGGACCCACGTCTGGGATTTCCCAAAAACCCACTGTGTGCAGATGCCTCTATGGCCCTCAGTGCCCCTGAAGACATCGTGCCCCCCTCCCCGCATCCTTAGGATTACGGCAGGACGGGAGCTGCACCAAAAGCCGATCAGCCCCTCGCCAACTTTCCCTCCCGCCCGGCTTATCCCGCGCCGAGATGCCACGCGGAGTTAAGCCGCTTTAGCGGGGCCAGGCGAGGGCAGCCGGGGGGCACCAGGACAACCCATAGGACGCAGCTGGGTGTCGAGGGGGACAAGCTCGAGGACTTCAGGACTGTCCCGGTGTCTGGGGACGCTGCCCTGGCTGACACTGTCTGGCTTCACATCCCGCTCCACTTCGGAAAGCGAAGGAAGGGATGTGCTTTCCGTCTGTCCTCATCCCTGTCCCCCATTCCCACCAGCCTCCTCACCCCAGCCGGCAGCAGGGAGCGTGGCAAAGGGCTGGTTAAGTGTTTCTCCTGCTGTTTTCCCTCTGCGGGGCTGGGAAGCAGCGACGTGCTGCAATACCCCAGACGAGGCTGTTCCTGGGGCATTTCCGGATGGGAATCTGGCAGCAGAGCCTGTGCTTGGGCCCCATCCAGCCCGGGCTTGTAAAGCCCCGTGACCCAGGGAGGAGTACGCCTACGTTGGGGTGCTGCTGGTCCCAGCACAGGACCCTCCTCGTGCCCCACTTCCAAGGACTGGGGGGTGCTGACTTTCGTGCCAGCTGCTGCGAGGGGAAACTGAGGCACAGGTCAAGCCCAGCTCAGTCCTGCTGTGGAGTGGGGAGGGGAAGGAGCAATGCTGTGTGTGAAGATAGGCACGTTGTGCCAGGATTAACGCTGGCAGCCTGAGTTTTAGCAGTGTCAGGGAGCTGGGGGGGGCACAGCCGAGATACTGCCTCTCCCTGTGCTCCTGCCCATTCTTACCAGCTCAGCTGGTGCTGGGACTCTGCACCCTGGCTGCTTGGCCATTGCCGGTGCCATCCAGCCTGGGGACAGGGGGGATGCTCTGTGCCACTCAGGGACACAGCAGCAGGCATGGGTGCCGTGGCCAGGTACCGCAGCGTGGGCTGGCTGGGCCTCTGAGCATTCCCTGCTTGAGCGCCTCGGCCAAACAGGCCGGGCTCAGCGAAACAGCCTGAATTTTCCAATGAAAAAACGTTTCCTCAGGAAATTCCTGAGCAGTTTTCATGGGGGGTGGG